CACACCTCCAACACTTGGATTCATAATTCTCATAAATGCGAGACATAGTTGCAGGATCCATGTGCCATCTGTAAAACATTTTATAAAAATTCTCACGTAGATTTTGAGCTTGCGTAAACTTCACATTTCTCACCCAAATCAACTCCCAAGTATCCATAGATATTGTTTCTCCTATATTTTGGGCCCATTTAATCATACAGATGGACCATTTCTGGCTTTTTTGCCTTCATCAGTTAGCCATACCCTTTATGGGATTCGAACCTGGGCAGTTATACATGCTAGTCAGTGATTTAGTCACTGAGCCACAGGTTCTCTTCCCAAGATGTGCAGACTTTTAACGCCTAGACTGCTGGCTAAGGAATTCTGGAAGTAGAAGTCCACACATCTTAGAATTGGTTGCGAAGCCTGTAAATGGAGGGGGGGGGGCGTTGTCAAAGGTGAGAAATCAAAACATCTTGGGACAGATTAAATGTCGACCACCATTTGCCCTTCCTTGGTCGTCTTCGAATCCATTGGTAGTTCAAAAAGCAGTGTCCTTGTTCATCTGGGGGCTGACAGTTTGCAAAAACTCCCCTACAAAACCTTGAATGCCCTCTTAAATCGGGGGGGGGGGTGGGTGGTGGTCAAGTGCAGGAAATAAGGACTCTATAGACCAATGGTGGTGAACCCATGGCATGCGTGCCAGAGGCGGCACTCAGAGCCCTCTCTCTGGGCCCCCGCACCATGCCCCGGAGATGGCAACCGTCCCTCTTCAATCAGTTGCCTGCTAACTCGCCGAGGTCCTACATGGCCGGATGCATCTCAACATGGCTGGTTTCCCTCCCACCTGTCCCATCCCTCCTGGCCTCGCATGCTCTCCTTTTTCCGGACACGACCCACTGCATCTATGTTCCTCTGAACTGCTGGGGGCGGGCTGCGGAGCCCCAGAGTGCATCGGTCGAGGGACTGGCAGGCTGTGGCTGCTGATGGACACCATTGGCCCCCATGCGCTCACTGACCTCTGTGTGCGTGGGCCGATGGTGTCAGGCAGCAGCCGCCCCGGCCCCCTGGCCCACCTTGCCCTGCGGCAATGGCACCCCTGCCCTGCCTTGCCTTGCCTCATCCCGCAGGACGAGCCTCCTGCCCACTGCCTCACCTACCAGAGACCCCCTGGATCTCCCCCAACCCTGCCCGGCCCCCACAGGCATCCCTCCCCATGAGCAACATCGAGGTGACCACGCCCACCTTGGCCACACCCACCCAGTCTGCCATGACCACCCACCCAGTGGGCCACGCCCACCTGGCACCCGGCAATAAATAAGTGGGTTTGGGGTTGCAGTTTGGGCACTCGGTCTCTAAAAGGTTTGCCATCACTGCTATAGACAGTTCAAATGAATACATAGGTTTATTGTAGGCTAAAGCTCTCTAGAAGAATCTGAACTACTAACAGTCAAAACGAATTGGCGGGAGATAAGAGTCAAAGGCGGGCTGGATTTAGATCTCCTGTGGGCACGCAGGGACTCGAGACTGATGACACGTTTGACTCCCCTCTCCTACCGGCAGCCGCAGAAGGTCCTTATTCTCGATTACAGCCTGCTCCCATCCTTCTCTAAATTGTTTTATCACGAAACACGGCACCCTGTCTTGCTTGCTCAGCAAGGAAGAGGCGCTCAGAATGAGATGTGGATAGAAGCTTGACCTCACAGCCAATTCTCTTGCTGCTTTGTTGGGGACCTGGGTTCCTAACCCCCCTCCCCAGTTGAGTGAATTGGGGGCTGGAAATCTGCAAGCCTTTTTACTTCCTAGCGGAAGTAAATGTGGAAACGTTGCTTGTTTGTAGGTGGTGGTGGGGCCTAAGAAGGTCTTCCCAGAAGGCACAGTCATCTCCCTGCATCCTGCAGATGAAGAAGAGGATGACGAGGATGAATTCAGCGATGATGCGGATGTGAACAAGGAGGAGAGCAAAGCGAAGCAAAAAGGTACGGGAGAAACTGGTCCTGGGGATTTATTGGAGAGTGAGACTGTCCTCCTGCAGGGTTTTCTAGGGGTGACAGGATAGCAGTCTTCCAATATTTGAGGGGCTGCCCCAAGAAGGGGTCAACCTCTTCTCCAAAGCACCCGAAGCCAGGACGAGAAGCAACGGATAGGAACTAATCAAAGAGAGAAGCAACCTAGAACTAAGGAGACATTTCCTGACAGTGAAAACAATTAATCAGTGGAACGACCTGCGTCCAGAAGTGGTGGGTGCTCCGACACTGGAAGAGATTGGACAGCCCCTTGTCTGACATGGGTCTCCTGCTTGAGCAGGGGGGAGTTGGACTAGACTAGAAGACCTCCAAGGTCCCTTCCAACTCTGTTATTTTGTTATTCTCTTCTGCCTTTTTCCCATAGAGTCTTCCCTTGGGAGCCCGCTAAGGATTAAGGATAAGGATTAATAACTGCTAAGGATTAAGCAGCTGGAGAAAGAATCTGCTTTGAACGAGTAGGTGGGAAGGAGATGATGACGAAGTGGTGGGGACGAAATGGGCTCCAGGCTCTGACTCCTATTTGGGCACAGTTGAAATCCCCTTTTCCAGCCGTTTTATTTTCCTTAGCTTTTGTTGCTCTTTCGTAATGCAAATACCTTCTTCTTTTATTTATTAGATTTGTGTCCTGCCTTTCGTTCAAGAGCTTTAGCTGGTTTTCTCTCCTCCTACTTTTCGACAGAAAAGGAGAATATTTATAGCTCAGGGTTGAACTGTGGGGTGCTTGGTGCTCTCTGAGCTTGTTGGTTTTCTTGCAGACGTTTCTTTACCAAACTAGGTAACACCATCAGCGCTAGCTTCTATTTTCCCCCGCATCATCAATTTTGCAAGGTACATTAGGCAGAGAGATGGTCAAGATCAGACCAGACCATCTTGGTCTCCTTGATCTTAGTCCTACACTTTACCGAGATACCATGTGGGTGTTGTGGCTTAATATTTCCAGATGTTGCTACTGAAGCAGTTAACCTCACAAGATGTTTGTGTTTGTTCATGGGGTGAAGATAGAAACATAATGCTTAGTTCATTATACAGTAGTGGCCAAAATTGTGGAAACCTTTTGGGAGAAGTGTACAGTAGAAATGCCACCTTTGGTTAAGTTTCCACCCATTTTTCTCCTAATTTCTTTATAACTGTAGCCTTCTTTACTTAATAAGACTATTTTACATCGCTTTCTGGGCGACCGGTCAACTCTTTGCACTATGACTTTAATTTTATTATGTTTTACAAGCTCGCTAAATGAAAGAACACAAAAAACCCCAACCAACATGATAGCCATCACATAACACACTGACAAATGTCCTCCTCTCAGCTTCAATACACGACATCAATAACCAAATCCTAACTGTGATCTGATTGGCTCATGGCCAAAACAAGATGACACCCGATTGGCTCTCTAAACACTCATGCTCATTGGCTACAATCAGATGAAGGAAAGCTACCTGATATCAACCTAAGCAAGTTGTGCTTCCTTTTTCTGGTTCTTTGGCTATATCTTTTCATAGAATACAGTACAGATAATTGAACAAACTTTGTTGCATTACATTCTTGATTAAATTATCTTTCCATTGATATATAATTTCATGGTACTACTCCCCCCCAAAAAGTGGTGTTATTAGCCATCAAACCTCAAAAAATACACTTTTCCTAAAAGGTTTCCACAATTTTGGCCACTACTGTATATGATTTCTGTCACTTCCTCCTAAACCAGGGGTGTCAAACTGCTGGCCTGCGGGCCAGACGCGTCACAAAATCGCACCCACCCCATTGCCAGCAATGGGGAAAAAGTTCGGTGACGTTGCGAGTTTGACATGTCTGTCCTAAACCAAACAGTATTTAAAGCAAAAAGCATCCTTGCTTAGGCTAGAAGGGGTGAGGGCGTAAGACTGCTGTCCCTCATCCACCATTTTCCATTGTAGCTCTTCCCAACTTGGTGCTAGGATTAGAAAAACTAGCTAATGAGGTAGACTTGAGGTATCCTGGGTGCTCTCGGAGTTTGGCTGTTTTCTTGCAGATGTTTCATTGTCCAAACTAGGTAACATCTTCAAGAAAACAACCAAGCTCAGAGAGCACCAAGGACCCCTCATTTCAGCCTTGAGCTACAAATATTCTCCTTTTGAGGTAGACTTTTTTTCAACTCACCAGTTTCTTTTGTTTAGTTGCGTCCTTTGGGTTGATAATCAAACCAACTTTGATTTTCTACTTTAGGCTACAACCCAGAAGAGGTTGGCTTGGAAGGCAGAGGTTACCTTTGGAAAGCAGCTGATGAAAACGATGCAGACCATGAGGAACAAAGACAAAGTCTCTGGGGTAAGTGGGATTCAGCAGGCAGTAGAGAACGGCACATTGTCTGTCCCATGCTCCTCTGCGATTCTTGTAAGTGATGAGAATTGTCAAGAAAACTATTGTGGCAGTTGTCTTTACAGGGCTGGGAATAGTGTCAAGGTAACGATTTAAAAGCTAACCAGCTTGTGTAATGTAAGAGGTAAGATGTAATGATGGGAATGACTCAGCAGGGTCTGTGTCTCTTTAAGAGCCTTCGTATAAAAGGGAAGGCTCTGCCCATGTGTTCTCTCTAATCTGTTTCCTGCTGTAATTGTGGTTTGTTGGATCCTGCTGCATTAGCACATGTATGTATATTGTTCCTGCTATATGATATTGTAGATAGTGTAAGATAAACCACCATCGAATACAGACCACTGTTTACTGTGTTTACTCCTGGGTTATCTCAGCGCAATAAGATTGTGCACGCTCTGACAGATAGTGCTGACTATCAGTCATCCGATTTAGAAGGATCTAAGTTCTAGTCCCATCCCTGCTCAGTGCAGGATCTAGCCAGTTTCAATGCAGGCAGTCGTAGACCTGAAAGACTTAACCACAATTGAAGCAAATAAAGTTGCCAAGTTTAAAGACCCCTCCCTGCATGGTTAGCTGAGGAATTCTGGGAGTTGAAGTCCACAAGTCTTAAAGTTGCCAAGTTTGGAGACCCCTCATCTAAGCAGATACTGTGGGACAAAGGAGCCATTCAAGATCCAGTTTTGTAAGAATAACCATAGCAGAAAGTGTTGATAAAATATAACGCTTGACATGGAAATACTGGCTAGAAATAATCGCTAAGCAACGGGTCGCAAATTGAGGATTACCTGAAATGGTTTCCTTGTGAAAAGGGTGCTGGAGCAAAGTCAGAGAACTTTAGAAGGTTCTTCCCTCCCATCTTAACTAGGCCTCACCGTGAAGATTGAAGAAGAAGAAGCTGAGTCTGAAAGCGACACAAGCTTTGGGTCTGAGCAGATGGACAGCCGGACAGCTTCCCCTCAGATGGATGATGTCAAAGGTAATTGGGTTTTCCTTTGTGGCAGGACGTTGGCTCTAAATGCACATTTTCTTTATGACGTTAAAGTGGAAACTGAACTGAGTGTGAGTAAAAAGGTGGACTTGAAGCGTTCTGGGTTTGAGGATTGTTGCCCAAGGTTGCTTCTACCAGCTCTTCCACCGGGGTGCTCAGCTTCTAATCTGCTCTTGATTCCAGTTTTCCAGAACGAGGTCTTGGGGACTCTGCAGAGAGGGGAAGAAGAGAAAATCTCTTGCGACAACCTGGTTCTGGAGATCAACTCTCTCAAGTAAGACATTTGTGGTCAGGTTTTTGAGACTTTAGGAGAAAGCGGGAGCCCCAAGACTCCCCGTCCAGAGACAGGCATGTACTTAGACCTCTTGTGTATAGATCAGGGGCAGGCAACCTTGGCTCTTGTGTGACTCGGGGACTTCAACTCCCAGAATTCCTGAGCCAGCATGGCTCAGCTTGGAAAGCTCTCCCTTTCCCCTCAGCACAGCTGGCTGAGGAATTCTGGGAGTTGGAGTCCACGAGTCATAAAAGAGCCAAGGTTGCCTACCCCTGGTACAGATGGAGGTGTGCAATCTCTCACTTAGTGAGGGGGGAGGCGGTTCTGCTCTGCCTCCTTCCAGACCTTTTCTCCTTTCTGTTTGCACTCTCTTCCCAGCTGCACTCATTTGAGAACTGCTGCAGAGTTATTTTATTTTACTTTTACTTTACTATTAATTATTTTGTTTTTTATTATTTTAATTTGTTTTTATTATTTTTTATTTTAGAATTTTATTATATTATTTTAATTTAATTTATTTTTGTTTTATGTATATATTATATATATATTATATTTATATATATTATATTAATACATTATTTTTATTTTATATTTTATTTTTATTTTATTTCAATTTATTATTTTATTTTACTTTATATTATATTTTATATTTTTTAGTTTATAATTATATTATTTTAAATTATTTTATTTTTGTTTTATATAATATATTTATATATATTATATTAATTTATATTATTTTATTTTATATTTTATTTTTATTTTATTTCAATTTATTTTATTTTACTTTATATTATTTTATATTAATGTATTTTATTTTAGTTATTTATTTCATTTTAATTTAATTTCATTATTTTATTTTATTTTACTTTATTTTATATTGTATTATATTAATTATTTTGTATTTTTTATTTTATTACATTTTAATTTATTTGTTGTTTCATATATATTATTTTATATATTTATATATTATTTTATATTGATATATTTTATTTTTTTATTTCAACTTATTTTATTTTATTTTAATTATTTTTTATTTTTTTTAATTTTGTTATATTTTATTATTTATTATTTTAATTTATCATTTTATTTTATTTTATTTTATTTTTTTTAATTTATTTGCCTGCTATCTGGTATCAAATGACTTCACTGGTTTGGAAGGCCGATTTCATAGTTTAATTCAGGCTTCTGAATTGCGTTGTTTTTGCAAGATTAAACCTGATCACAAACCTCCAATTGACAATGAGGTTTTGTCCAGTTGACACACCTGTATTATCTATAATACAGATATATTGTTTTCCATGGGGGGGGGGTTCAGATAAAGGGCCTCTTTTGTTTATTGTTTTCAGATAAGGGGTCTTAATTGTATATATGGCATTTACCACAGAACTCCAGATCCTAATTGCGATTAACTTTGATATTTCTGTTTAATATCTATTCATATATATTAGAATATTTTGGTAGCAGAGTTTGTAGTTCGTCATTTGTTTTTTTTTTTCTGTAGTTATTTCAGTAAAATGTTGTTCTGGACATGCATTTGTCTAGTCAGTTTAAATGTTTAATCCTGCTCTTGAATGTGTGCTTCTTTGGAGATCATTCATCTTCAGCATTCTTAAAAGAGCTGTAGATCATCAGACAGATAAAACATATAAGCATATCATATGTAAATATCACGGATAGGATGGGACAGGACAGGACAGGACAGAACAGAACAGAACAGAATAACAGAGTTGGAAGGAACCTTGGAGGTCATCTAGTCCAACCCCCTGCTCAGGCAGGAAACCCTATACCATTTCAGACAAATGGCTGTCCAGTCTCTTTTCTTAAAGACTTCCAATGTTGGAGCATTCACCGCTTCTGGAGTCAGGTTGTTCCGCTGATTAATTGTTCTGTCAGGAAGTTTCTCCTTAGTTCCAGTTTGCTTCTCTCCTTGATTAGTTTCCATCCGTTGCTTCTTGTCCTGCCTTCAGGTGCTTTGGAGAATAGCTTGACTCCCTCTTCTTTGGGGCAGCCCCTGAGATATTGGAACCCTCCTATCATGTCCCCCCTCGTCCTTCTCTTCGTTAAACTAGACAGACCCAATTCCAACAACCGTTCCTTATATGTTTTAGCCTCCAGGCCCCCCATCATCTTTGTTGCTCTTCTCTGCACTCTTTCTAGAGTCCCAACATCTTTTTTACATCGTGGTGACCAAAACTGGATGCAGCATTCCAAGTGTGGCCTTGCCAAGGATGTCTGTTAACATTTCTCCTTCTTTTTATAGATACGCCTATAACATCGGCCTGAAAGAGGTGATGGCGATGCTCAGCAAGGTGGTGCTGGAATACCCCCTACAGCAGATGAAAGCAGAAAAGGACCCTCAGCAATACAGCAGCCTGGTGGCCCCTGTGAGCATCCCTCCTCCTTGCCTTGATTCTGCGGCCATATTTTTAACCCCCTCAGACCTTCCCATCTGCCCATCCCAGGTCCTTGGGTTCAATAAACAGAACAAAAATGCCAAATCTGGTCTGAACGTCTGGTTGACTGCACAACAGACCATAACAATAAAAAATAATAATAAAACATTAAAAAAACAAGCAAAAACCTCAAAGGGCAGACTTGGTGGACCACTGGGCCTTTTTCTGCCCTCCGTTTTCTATGTTTCTATCCCTCTGTTTATAAAGAATCCCTTTACCCTCTTCCAATGGGTGGCTGAAATACACAGGTGGTCCTCAACTTACGGCAGTTCATTTAGTGACCGTTCAAAGTTACAACGGCACTGAAAAAAAAGTGACTTACGACCACTTTTCACACTTACGACCTTGGTAGCAGCCTCAGGATCGTGTGATCAAAATTCAGATGCTCGACAACTGCTTCATACTTAACGACCGTTGCTGTGCCTCAGGGTCAGGCTATCACCTTTGGCGACTTTCTGGCAAGCAAAGTCAATGAGGGAAAGTGATTCGCTTTACAACCGTGTTGCTAACTTGTCCACTGCAGTGATTCGCTGCAGAGAAAAGTTGTAAAATGGGGCAAAACTCACTTAACAAACGCCTAACTTAACGACAGAAATTTTGGGCTCTATTGTGGTCGTAAGTCGAGGACTCCCTGCATATATAAGGGGAAGAGATTTGAAAGTCTGTGAAAATCGAACTGCCAACTAAGCTGTAAGTTGAGGACACGAGTGGCTGCATGAAAAAGGAAACTAGGGTTGGGATAAAAAACAAACAAACTTGCAGAACAGAAAAAGAGAAATATCTCCATTTCTATTTTCTTCCTTACTCCTCTTTTTTATTTTCCTTTGCTGGTAATATTTCAGTTGTTTTTAATCTTGGTACAGATTTCTTCATTAAAACTGTATTTTTTTTTATAAAAAAAATAATAATCACAGAACAATGTCCGTTTTGTCGCTTTATAAAAAGCAGGAAATTGTACGTTTTTGCCATGCAATGTTTCTTTGTCGTTCTTTTGGGTGCAAGCGCTGTTAACGACCTCCAGTTCTATGCATTCATTTAAGGGGCTCCCCCTTTTTTTTAGCATTCAGTTCTCTTTGCTCAACTCTCTCCCCCAGCTGCTGAAGAATTGGGCTCCGCTCTTCAAGAACTACATCAAGCGGACGTCGGATCACTTGGATGCTTTGCATGCCATTGAAGAGTTCTTCTTGGAACATGAGAACCTGACCACGGCTTTGGCCAAAGTAAGCTTCCTTGGGTGTTGACAGGCTGGCTGGAGGTTGATCCTAGGCCAGTGGTGGCGAACCCATGGCACAGATGCCAGAGGCGCCACTCAGAGCCCTCTCTGTGGGCATGCATGCCATCCCCCCAGTCCTAGGCTTTCAGCTGGGTTTTATAAAAATTTTTCGCTTTAGGCCTCCACCGCCGTGTGCAAAAAAAAAAAAGGTTCAATCAGTCAATTTCAACTTCTCGCGGGGAAAAAAAAGATCTTGCAAAGTTGGAATTGATTGATTGAACTTTTTAGTCCCACCCAGTCTGCCGTTTCCACGGCAGCCACGGCCACCCAATGGGCCACACCCACCCAAAGGGCCACACCCATTCAATGGGCCACGCCCACCCGGCACCCAACGATGCATAAGTGGGTTTTGGGTTGCAGTTTGGGCACTCGGTCTCTAAAAGGTTCGCCATCACTGTCCTAGGCTGAATAATGATGACCTGTTAGTTGAACTAGATTTCCTTCTGTCTCTTACATCCATGGGGAGGTCCTATGGTCTTCTCACCAAAGTTGGGTTTTCAGGACCTATTTGCCAATCCCCGAAGGGTCCCTGTTATACAAAGGTCGTCCTCCACTTATGACCACAAGCGAGCCCAAAATTTCTGCTGTTAAGTGAGTTTCCCCCCGTTTTACAACTTTTCTTGCCACAGTTGTGAAGTGAATCACTGCAGGTGATTAGTCAGTAACCCAATTGTTAAGTGAATCTCCTTTCCCCCCTTGACTTTGCTTGTCAGAAGTTCGCAAAAGAGGATCACGTGACCCCGGGGGACACGGTGACCGTCATAAATATGACCCAGTTGCCAAGCCTCTGAATTTTGATCACGGGACCATGGGGAATGCCACGAGTGTGAAAAACGGTCATAAACCATATTTTTCAGTGCTGTTGTAACATTGAACGGTCACTAAATGAACTCTTGTAAGTCGAGGACTGTATATAAAAGGCAGCTTTATTTAACAGCGATATAGACAAGGAAGGGGAAAGGAGAATCAACATCAGTAACATGTATTTGGAAAACAAACAAGATCTGAGAATATAAGTTTTATATAATAATAATAATAATAATAATAATAATAATAATAATAATAATAATAATAATAATAATAATAATAATAATAAAAAAGTTGGAAGGGACCTTGGAGGTCATCGAGTCCAACCCCCTGCTCAGGCAGGAAACCGTGAGCAGGGGGTTGGACTCGATGATATATCTATATACCGTACTTCCCCGAAGATAAGACCAGGTCTTATTTTTATTTATTTTTTTTTTGCCTCCAAAAGAGGCACCAGGTCTTATTTTCGGGGTAGGCCTTAGCTCACCTCCGGCACTGACAGCTCCACCCAGCCGGTCCACTTCTTCTGGGGCCGAAGTTCTGCAGCTGCATTCGGGCCTGCATTTTGCAGTCAGGCCTTTCCAGAAGGCCTAAGCAGCCGAGTACCGAGCTATGGATTCAATCCATAGCTCGATGCTCGGCTGCTGAGGTCTTGCAGAATTGAGCTATGGATTGAAGCCATAGCTCGGTTCTTCGCTGCAAAGGCCTTCCAGAAAACCTTGTGACTGAGAAATGCAGGCCTGGCTGCAGAAGAGGCCTCAGAAGAAAAAGGGGGCTGGCAAGGAGAGGTCTGGCTGCAAGGTAAGTGGGTGTGGGGCAGGTGGGGCAGCTCCACACCCCCATGCCTGCCCTAGCTTGGTTTTTAGGTGTGTGCCTCACCCCAAAACTAGGGCTTATTTTTGGAATAGGGCTTATATTAGGCCCACCCTCCAAAATCAAGCTAGAGCTTATTGTTGGTGTAGGCCTTACTTTCGGGGAAACACGGTATATTGATATATATCAATATATATAGATATCCTATATTCCCATATCCTGTATGTGTGTGTGTAAATATTCATACATGCATACATACATACATATAAGGAATAGAAACTAAGGAAGATGCCTCTGTCTTCATAACTTATACATACACAAAATACCAGTTTAGAGGGGAAAACATATCACAATAGGGGCTCATGACCCCAGTTCATTACAACCGTTGTAAATATGAGTCAGTTGCCAAGCGTCCAAATTCTGATCACGTGGTTATGAGGATGCTGCAATGGTTGTTAAGTGTGAAAAAATGGTCTTCAGTCCCTTTTTTCAGTGCCATTGCAGCTTTGAATCCTCACTAAACAAACTGTTGTAAGTCATGTACTACACACACACACACACACATTGCTTTTTGGTATTGTTCCTCTCATTAGCCTTTGTGGGGTTTTTTTTTTTAAACAACTTGTAAGTTCCATCAATGGTAAGACATTAAAAGTTGTTTGTGTGGAGTTTCTTTTTCTGTATCTGTGGAAGTTCTCAGTCATCCATGTCAGGATTGTCCCAAAGCTGCTTTAGAAAAGGCAACTGGGCTTTCTTGAATTTTCTTGCAGAGAAAGTTAGAACTGAAGGAGCTTCTTGGAGGAGAAGTGAAGCGCCCTCAAGAAAAATCAAGAAAGTCTTAATTCTAAGCTTTTCTTTTCCGTACGGCTCTTTACTTCTTCCTTGCCTCCATTCCTGACCATGCATAGCCCCTCAATGCAAACCCAGCTTCTTCTGTGGTCCTTGCAGGTCCTGATGATGTTCTATCAACTGGAAATCTTAGAAGAAGAGATGATTCTGGCCTGGTTTTCTGAACGGGACACCTCAGATAAAGGCAGACAGCTTCGTAAAAACCAGCGGGTGAGTTACCATCAGTGGGTGAGGATCAAGGTGTTGTGAGCCATATCCATCCATCACGCGTATTCATACTTCATGCCAAGATGCCAGGTAGTTTATAAACATTAAAACAGAACAGTAGAACAACTTACATTAAAAAACGGCCATAAACAGAATGCATAACAGCATAAAATCCAAACAAAAGCAGACCCAATTATCACCAAAAAAAAAACCCCATTAAACAGAATTGTGCTTACTGCCTTACAGAAAATCAGAACCCCTAGGACAGGGGTAGGCAACCTCAGCTCTTTTATGACTCATGGACTTCAACTCCCGGAATTCCTGAGTCAGCTATGCATAGCTGACTCAGGAATTCTGGGAGTTGAAGTCCATGAGTCATAAAAGAGCTGAGACTGCCCTAGGAAAATAGATACACCTCAATGGCAAGCAGTTGCAGAGAAATAGTCACCTGGGTTTCTTCATGACCACCCAGGACAGGTGATTCCCTAAGATGTCCCAGAACTGTGGCAGGCAGGGCTTTAAAACCAATAGTTTGAATTAGACCCAGCCTCAATTCTGCATTTTAGACCCAGATCACCGCAATTTGTCCCATCGGCAGCTTCTGAATAGTCTTTGAAGGCAGCCCCACATAGAGGGTGTTGCAGTATTCTAAGCATGAGGGAAAGATCTTTTAGCCAGATTTCTGGAAAGTGTGAAGAGTACAGTACTTGACAAAGGAACAGTTTGCAATTCGGTAAACCTGTTAACATTAAGCCATAATTGTTTTTGTTTGGGGCTTGCTCTGATTTAACAAACTCTGGTTAAATTCACACCCTTAGCACCATATGTCAGCCCTATTGATCACCATAAGGCAAAACCAGCCAATAGTGGTTTCAGTAAATTATAGTGAAACAACTCATGGCCTAGCACAAGGGTAGGCAATTGTGGCTCTTTTATGACTCGTGGACTTCAACTCCCAGAATTCCTGAGCCAGCATGGGGGAACTATGGCCCCTTCATGACTGGTGGACTTCAACTCCCAGAATTCCTGAGCCAGCATGGCTCAGCTTGGAAACCTCTCCCTTTCCCCTCAGCATGGCTGGCTCAGGAATTCTGGGAGTTGAAGTCCACAAGTCCTAAAAGAGCCAAGGTTGCCTACCCCTGGCCTAGCACAATAATACACAATCCAGGAGCCACATGGGCCACGTTCTTATACTGATAGTCCTCGACGTACGACCACAATTGAGCCCAAAATCTCTGTTGCTAAGTGAGATTTGTTAAGTGAGTTTTGCCCCACTTGACTACTTTTCTTGCCACAGTTGTTAAGCGATTCTGTCTTCCCCACTGACTTTGCGTGTCAGAAGTTCGCAAAAGGGGATCACATGACCCCAGGACGTTGCAACGGTCATAAATACGAACCAGTTGCCAAGCGTCTAGATGTGGATCACGTGACTGTGGGGGTGCTGCAACGGTCGTAAGGGTGAAAAATGGTCCTAAACCCTTTTTCCAGTGTAACTGGACATAAACATTTTTTCCCCGTTGTAACTGAGCGGTCACTAAACGAATGGCTGTAAGTCAAGGACTACCTGTAGTTGAAATCTAATATCCGAAGCACAGCAACCTACGAAAAGAATGTTTATGGCCAAATCCGCCAGTTTTCCCCCCTTGTTCCACCTGTTTATTGCCAAGAAGTTTCAGGTGGTTCTTCCCAGGCGTCCCCATCGCTGCACGCTGATCGTCACTCATGCTGGTCCTCTTTTGCAGCTTCAGAAGTTCATCCAGTGGCTTGAGGAAGCGGAGGAAGAGTCGTCCGAAGGGGAGCAAAACTGACCTGGTGGCCTCCGTCAAAAAGAAAGACGAGCCTTGCTCTCTTTCTCAGAAGAAGGGAGGCCCCAAACATCCACCTTGGCTGAAGGAGGCGGCAGAAGAGCAAGGACATAACCGTGTGCATGGCCCATGCATGTGGGATTCGAACTCTCGGCTGGCTGACAATCCTGGGGCTTATTTCGTTGTATATTTAATGTTCCTGGCAGACACCACGGGTGGGACGGAAGGAAACCATGGCTGGATAAACCAGAGACCTGTACACTATTTAAAGTCTTTCCACGGGGTGTGTATGTGTGCACATGAGGGTGGGAGGTCTGCTAATGGCCAGGTAAGCAGTGCAACTCCCAAGTCAACCTTAACAGTTAGGATTCCAACCATTTTTGAGTTCTTCTTCTTCTTCAAAAAAAAAAAGATCTCTTGAACTTCCTGCATTTGCTTGTGTCCGTGGGAAATGGTTCGTTGAGTCCGAGAATCGGCTGTAAAAGCAGAAGAGAACAGACCAAGATAAGGTAGTAGGATAAGCCAGGACGGAAAAGATGCTACTGACATTAGCCAAATTGTCCTTTAACCCTAACCCTAAACTAGGGAAATTAACCCCGGAGAAAAGAACTTTCCTGAAAGGAAAATCTTCTTTTCGAAGTCGGGGTTAGTTCCACACTCTCACGTACAAATGTGGGTGTCATCCCAAACCACGGAGCCCTCTTTTTTTTCTTCTTCTTCTCTTTGCATAAAACGGGGGGAAATGCTCACCTACCTCACAAAGCATTTGTCGATAAAGAGAAATCTCTGTAACGGATAAGTGTTCTTAGGCCTCTTAACGTTGGTGCTGTGTTGCGCGTCGGTCTTGCTGAAAAAAGTCTGGTCCTTCAGAGCTGAGCGACATGGCTCCCATCTTGTTTTTGAGGGAAAAAGGGGGTTGTTTCTCCTGAAGCTGCTTTGAGTCGGTTCCTTTCGGCCTCTGACAAATAACGTGTTTTGGGCGAACTTTTGGGGTTCTGCTTTGGCCCTATACTGACTCCACATAGATCCAAGCTAGGCCTGTCACAGACACGTCACTTAGGGTCCTGCTCCTTCTGACGGCTTTCAAGCCACCAGAGAATGTCTCCTGTTGATAATGTTGGTTGGGACACTGGTGGCTTGAGGCTTGCCAGATAAAAGGGGTATGGTAGCTTGTTCTCTCCAACACAAGGGTCTCCAAACGTGGCCACTGGGAGACTTGTGGACTTCAACTCCCAGAATTCCTCAGCCAGCCGTGCTGGCTGAGGAATTCTGGGAGTTGAAGTCCACAAGCCTTCCAGTGGCCAAGTTTGGAAACCCCTGCTCTAATCTTCCTTTTTGTTCCACTGTCATTGCTGGTGGGGTTTTTCCAGCCTCTTTCTTGGTCAAAGTTCAGCATCTGGAATGCTGATGATGATAAGAAGAATCTAGAAGTCAAGAACTTCTGGATTATTACTGACCAACCTGCAGCCCTTCAGACCTTAACCAGTGGCCATTTGTACTTCAGAAACCTCTAGATTGGTTGACTAAACCAACATATATATATATATATTTACCTCTGGAATTGCTGGAGCCATCTCTTTTATTTTGCCACCATTTTTTGTTCTAGAAAGGAGAGAAAAAGCGAATAGTTGTCTCGTGGAGTGACTTAAATGTCTGGGAAACATTTCCTGTTTTCTTTGAGGGGGGGAGGAAGAGTTTGAACACTAACTGTGGTGTTTTACCATTGTTCTCAAATCCACCTTGTAAATGCTGAGGAAGAAGTGCTCTCTTTTTTTCCCTCCCATCCCTGCTAATATTCAATTCAGGGAGTCATTAAACCCGTCTGATGCAAAGAATGACTTGTGTGTTCTGCAGTATATTGGAATCCGAAAAGGGCTTGCATCACAGACGGTGCTAGAAGCGGCTCGGCAGCGAATCGGGCTTAAAAATCCTTCGGCCATTTTGCTGGTTTGTATACGTGTAAAGCCTGTTGTGGTTCTTATCGTTCTTGTGTTCCGCCTTTCCTTGCTTGAACTCTTTGTTATTTACTTAACTTGTTTTGCTTATTTATTTTGTGCCCCCCCACCTGAATCATTTTTCCAAATAATTCAAGGTGGCGAACATATTCAACCCACCTCCCTCCTCCTCCTATTTTCCTCACAGCGACAACCTTGTGAGGTGGGTTGGGCTGACAGAGAGGAGTTAGCCCAGTGATGGCAAGCCTTTTAGAGACCGAGTGCCCAAAAACTGGCCCCGCCCCCATTCCACCCCCTGCCCCGCCCCCACCCCATCCCCCACCCTGCCTGCCTGCAGGGCCACTCACCGCCTCCAGAGCCCGCCACAGATTGCCCAGGCAGCCCAGCAGCGCCATGGCCATGCGGTCTGCCCACGCCCCACAGCATCAACTGTGCGGGATGGGGCGTGAGGACAGAGTCTTGTCTACGCTGCCTGGCTGCCAGGTCCTTGGCTGCACTGCTCTGTGTGGGCCACGCTCGGGGGCGACTCTCCAGGGGGGCTGCTGATGAGGGGGTCGCAGGGGGAAGGGAGGCTGGGGCAACGGCACGTGTGCCCACAGAGAGGACTCCGAGTGCCGCCTCTGGCATGCGTGCCATAGGTTCGCCACCACTGAGTTAGCCCGAAGTCATCTAACTGACAATCACGGCTGTGGTGGAACTAAAACTCACAGTCTCCGGCTTTTTATTTAATTTTATTTATTTATTATTTTATTATATTTTATTTTTTTATATTATATTATTATATTATTTGTTTAGAAAATTTATATAGCCGCCTACTAGCTCACAGCGACTCTAGACAGCTGACAAACAATAAAAACACAGTATAGAAAAAATATAAAAAAATAAAATTAAAAAAACCCCCAATACAAATAAAAAGACAATACCACACCACCACCATCACCTCCCGGTGACAACACACAGTCAAATAAGCCATACCCAGGCCCCTTGGCAAAGCCAGGTGTTCAGGGCCTTATGAAAGAGTGTCAAAGTGGAGGCCAGTCTAATTTCTGAAGGGATGATATTCCCAAGGGAGGGAGCCACCACAGAGAAGGCCCTTTTTCTGGGTCCTGTCAGATGTACCTCCCTTAGGGGACGGGACCAGCAACATTCCTTGCCTCCCTGCTCTAGTGGCTCGGGTGGATGTGACCGTCAAGACACAGACCCTCAGATAATCTGGGCCCAAGCCATGAGGACTGATTGATTGATACTATTTGCAGTCCTTGTAAAACTTGCACTAAAAGTGGTTCTACTAAGTACAGGCAGTCCCTCACTTACAACTGCTCGCTTAGCAGTTATTCTAAGTTATGATGGACCTTACGACCTAATATTCAAAGTTCTGACGGTCAGGCCCCCTTTGCAGTCATCCGACCAAACTCTGGATGCCCAGTAACACGGCCACTTTGCTAGGCATTTGCAACATCCTGCGGTCACATGATCATGTTTTCTAACGGTTTTGTCAGTTTCCAGTTTTTGGCAAGGAGCCCTTTACGAACCACGGATCCACTTAATGACCACAGCATTTAACAACTGCTGCAAAACTCGTAAAATCAGGTTGCTCATGTTTTACAACTGTTAAAACGCCTTACAACTGTAATGGGCAGACTCCATCACAGTCATGTTGAGGCCTACCTGGGTTTCAAAATCTACAATTCAGCTTCAAATATCCAACTTTTTTTTGACAACCAGCTTCCACAGCCACTGAAGTGGTACCTGTTTACCTACTTGCATTCGCATGCTTTTGAACTGTTAAGTGACCTGGAGCTGAGGCAAGTAACAGGAGCTCATCCTGTCGCGCAGAGTTCGGGGTCTCAAACCTGAGCTGACAAGCTCAGCATCAGCGTTCTGTGTGCCTCTGAATATAGTCATGCTGGCCATACGGCCGTGAAAATGTTTTTGGACAATCCTGTCTCCCTCAGGTAAGTCACGGAGATGAGCACCATTCTCTAGAGCTGGACAAAACTGGACAAGTGAAACGTTTACTTTTTCCACAGCCACTGGCCAAACCCTTGCTTTATCTTTTTAGATCCCTGTTGCGACAGAAGTATCCTTCAAGATCTTGTCTTAAGTTTGTTATTGACTTCCTGTGAGATAACTTCTCCAATACAGGGAATCCTCGACTTACGAGAATTAGTTTAGGGATCATTCGACGTGACGACTGCACTGAAAAAAGTGACCTACGATTGTTTTTCACACTTAGGACCATCCCCGTGGTCACACGATCAACGTTCAGAGGCTTGGCAACTGGCTCCTATTTTACAATGGTCGCCACGTCTCCCGGGGTCACGTGATCCCCTTTTGCGACTTCCTGACAAAGTCAACGGGGAAGCCGGATTCACTTAACAGCTGTGTGGCTCGCTTAACAGCTGCACTGATTCACTTAAACAGGGCAAGGAAGGTCGTAAAACAGGGCAAAACACTTAACAAATGTCTCGCTTAGCAACGGAAATTGGGCCAAATTGTCGTAAGTTGAGGGCTACTTGTATCCTCCGAACAGAATAAACAAGGAGACACTACTCAGCCTGGGCTCCCTTATTCTAAACACTTCGTTTCTCCAAACTCGGTTCTTAATAGTCGTTCCTTTTTCCTTGTAAAGATTCCTCAGAAGCATAACCAGATGTTCTGGGACTCCATTTTATATCCCACATTTTGGCACGATTTACATACTCGAAGGCCTTGATGCAATCAAGAAGTTGAAGAGGAATCACCTTAAAGGCTTTTGCTCTCTCCATTATCCATCTTACTTTATCCATTTCAGCATTTCTCACCCTTAGCAATTTTAAGATATGCAGGCTTCAACTCCTCCTCCAACTTCAGAGTTCTGGGAGTTGAATTCTACATATTCTACAGTTGCCAAGGTTAAGAAACACTTGAGCTATCTTATTACCCATGTTTCTTTAATTATCTGTTCCCAGTATCCCTGTTTTTTCTGCCCTGGCCTTTTAGTGTTTCTCTTTAAATGTGTGATCCCATTCTCCCTCTCTTTTTTTTTTTTGAGGGGGGGATAAGCACAACTTGGCTTGTGTGAAAAATTAATGCAATGATTTGCTAATTTGCATGTTTTCCTCCATCTCGTTTCTTAAAAGTGTAAAATTTGCATGTTCTGGAGCACTTTGAGGGAACTTGGCACCTCTCCCGATATTGATTGGTGCACATTTTCCTATTTTTCTGATCTTGGAAAAAATATATATCCTGTTTTCCTTGTTTTTCTGTTTTTTTGACATTCTCGACTTGAGATACCTTCCCTTGTCTTTACTTGCTAAATGAGTGTTT